CCTAAAATTACATTCTCATTCAATTTGTACATTAACGAGACGTTAATCGTAAGGAAATACTACTTCTCTTCTTACAGTTTCAGGAAGATCCTAACACCACATCATGTAACAATTTTACGTTTACTTTAACTCTTTAAATCATTATGTAGGATAGAAATAATGCAAAAACAATTGAAAACATAAAAATACAAAATAGTTTTATATAAAAAATAAAACAACCATTAAAATAAACACGGACAACCAAGGACTGCATGTATATGAAATACAAAGTACTCAGATATGACAAATTATGCGTTAGTTTTATCTCATTTTACATCTTGACTCGTTACCCTCTCTCTCTACATTCCATCCATGTACTGCCAAATTAAAGATTAATGTTTAAAGATATAAAATATGCATGCTTTGTAGGTTATACCTCATCAACATTCAAATCTATAGATAGACATTGAAATAGCTAAATTATTTGTCGGTCGTCTCACCTATGGTGAATTGATGAAAACCAATACGTTCAAAATCAGTCTATGTCTGATGCCTCTCCTAATGAATGATTTTAGCTATTTACTAGATATTGGGAATGTTGTTAATGCTACGGATTTATCCCTAGATCTACGGATTTTTGACATGACCTCCGATTTTATGATAAATGTAATAAATCTACAAATTTTTTAGTAAATATGTGTATGTTGTTATTCTCAATTTAATTTGATGATTGTGAATGTCCCAGATTCTAAGCCACACAGACTTCTGTGATTGAACGATCATGATGATTCCCCAGTTCTATGTATGTACCCAGTCAAACTGAATATATAACTCAGAACTATGTTCATCCTTTCTTAGCCAATCCAATGAAGAGAATTAACCTCTCAACCTGTGTTCCACGGTTTCTGTGCTCACTGCTCATTTTTAACAAGACTATTGAAATAACTAAAATTCCAAATACCTATATAGTATTTTTATTTTAAGTTTCTTTTACAAAATAACTTGTAAAACATGAATGTTGTATAAGTTTTTTGTGTTGCATAGGGCCAGTTCTACAATGCAAATATAAATCAAGAATAAGGCTATATAAGAACATTGTTAAAATGTTGCATTCTACAATCACGGTATAAGTTAATATTTCGGATAAACTAGGGAACAACTTATATCTCCGAACTGCACTAGATATACTTGGAATAATGTTATTCTCGCTTTCTATTGGTCTGCAACTCCCATTATTCTTTGGCAGGTGGTCTGGTTGGTCTGTGTTTGTTTGGCAGTATATAACCTCTAACCTGTATCTTGTATTTGTGTATTCTGGATAAATTCTAATATAATATTTTTTGTATTATATTACTGACTATTTTTGTGCACTACTTAATGGATCCTGCAGATTTAAATGTTTTTAATTCTCATGAAGACAACGTTGTTGAGGACATCAACAACTAAAAGTTTTTAAAAATCAGTAAATCAGTATAAAAATATTTTGTTTTCAAATTGATAGGTATATTTTTTTATTTCATACTGTCCGGTATATTGCTATTTCCCGGATTCATTTGCAGCCGGTAAGTGAGCTATTACAGTATCAGAGCCGGTAAAT